ACGTACAAAGACTGTTATATATGTATATTCCATTAAACATCAAGAAGATATAGCATATTTGTCTCTATTGCTAAGACACAGTGTATGATAATAAACAAACAATCACTATGCTAAATCAGTATGATGCAAGATCAAAACAAGAGCTGAAATCGCTCTTTTAATAAAAAGAATGTTCAGAAGTGTAGAAAAAAGTATAGAAAACTATAAAAGGATACGGGAAAAGAAGTGAAATAATGTAAGCGTTACGTTTGATAAGAAAGAAGAAGAAGTAAAATTTATATTGTGGAATTTATTCAACTTTGATCCATGACAATCGCTTTCGTCGGTGATTCTCATTTTACACATGTGATATTTCTTTGTTCCGAAATGTAGAAAGAGGAAGAGAGAGAGAGAGAGAGTTAAAATGCTATAAGTTTTTAAAAATATCTCATTTGTACTTTCGAATATGATACTACTTTTTAGAAGTTATATTCAATTTTAATTTATCAAAATACCTATCTACTCAAAACAATTAAAAATAAGAGCTTGTCAGGAACAATATTTTTCAGATGACATTTCTATGTATTATATATAGACGCAATTCGTTAGCGAGACTGGAAGAATAGTCTCTCATTTTAAGCGGGATTAAAAGCTAAAAAAAGAAAGGATATAGATTGTTGTGCAAATTGCGCGAAGAAATACAACCGCATACTAACTAAAGCATTTTGTAAGATGAGCCTTCCAAATAGAAATTAATTGGTAGTTGGAGATAAAAATTTCACTTTGCGGACAATGTTTATTTGTCCCTTTTTTTTGTAATCATCTGCAGAATATTATAGAAATTCATTATAGAAATTCTTAATCTCTTATCGTATTTTCATTAAAATATTTAATACTGAGAGAAGGGGAGAGAAAGCCAGATAATTTTACTGCTGCTGATAGGAGATAAAACAACCTGTCGGCATTTTTGCTCTACTACACATAAACCTTTATCGGAGAAAATGGAAGGGGGTGTCGTGATGTTTTCCGGGAATGACGACCGTGCAGAGTGGACGAGAATTTAGGGGAATTTGGGCGGATCGACTCCCATATCATTCCCTGCGGAAATGGTGTGATTTATGGAAGAATCCTCTGTCAGAGTATTATCACGAAAAAACAATTTCACTCCCGGAAAAATTATTCCTAAACGAAATTAAAGCAGATATTATCCTTTTTAATCAACTTTCACTAATTTGCCGGTGTAAAGTACCGTAACATAGTGCAAGTAAATTATGCGAAAGAATGATCATGACCTTCTTTTTGCTGAGAACTAAAGTGAAGACGACAAGTCGTTATCGTTTCAACTTTCATTTGCTCTATCAATAATTAAAAAGGTCTGAATATAATTTTGAAAATGTCAAAAGTCCTTAACTAGGATTACATTTTTACAACACATACTATTAAATGAGTTTTGACATATTTGTAAAAGAGAATAATTGCGTTATTTCGAGCAAAATATATTACATTTTATCAGAAAATTTTTGATAATTTTTAATGGAGCAGATTATACATGAAACAAAATTCTTTACCACTATGTATGAAAGTGAGAAATCATTATCTTGGAGAAAATATGCCGTTAAAAAGTAAATATCGAGATATCGTCGCCGCGTATTGCTTCTATCAATTTCTTCGTGAGGATTTTCTTTTCTTAGAGGGAGTGACTTCGCAAATAGGATAAGAAATGAATAGCATGAGAGAATAAAAAGGATTTGAATGAAAAGGAGTGTTTATTTTTTGACTGTGATTTTATCTTTCGATTTTTATATACACGATCACGTTTTATTATACGTATGATACTAGATTTACTTTATAAAAGTTAATTGAAATTAATTTAGAAAAAAAAATATTGTTTTATTTCTAGAAGAAATATGAACACAAAGGTGCTAATTTCTTGTAACACTTAACCATTCATGAATTTTTTTTAGGAAACGTTACATTTAAAAGAGAAAAGAGAATTTGTGTTTTTACATTTCTCTTAGTAATTTCAACTATAAATTGCAGTCATGCTAAAAGAATATAGCAAAATAATATAAAACGAATATGCAATTTTCTCTCAGAATTTGAAGATGCATTAATTCAAATAAAGATAACAATATTAGGCTTCAAATAATAGTCAAATTTTTTATTCTTAAAGTCAAATGAAATCTTTCAGATTGAATGCAATCATGAAAGAAATGTGATAAAAGAAGAGCGAAAATAATTCTTTTTACTAAAGCTTCATTAAGAACGCGACTTCCTGATATTAATGAGGCGACCAATAAGACCGCGAACAAACAGCTTCCGCATTTCGTTAATAGTACTACTGAATTAATTTAAAGTGCTATATATTCGATTGCTACTTTCTTATTTTCAATCTATAAAAGATTTCCCATTGTTTAAAAAAACAAAACTTATATATATTTAATTTTAATAATACAAAATTTAAAAAAGTATATAAACTTTCTAATAAATCCATTTTTATACATTTTATAATAATTTTATGCAAATATATTTGTGACGTATGAAAATCCGCGATAATAAAAAAAAATTAGTCTCGAACGTAAAAAGTTCGGGCTGTTTCGGGCTGTTATATCAGTTCTATTTTTATTCACCACATCGATTTATGGCTATAATTGGGAATTATAAGAAAAAACTTTATAAACCCGTTTTCAAAACATTTAAAAAAATACACTATTTTTTAGCAATCTATTTATCTCTTATTTCTAATCCGTGATAATTCCCCGCAAGAAAGGGACGAAAGCGATAAAAAATGTAATATAAAAAAATTACTACCGAAAGCACAAGATCGAAATATTTTACGATTCTCGCGTTTCCGCAATCAATGATTCACGAATTTTCCTGGGTATTCGAAGGAACGGATGAGCGATTGACGCGAGGATAAGGACCGCCTTTTGGGCGCATCGGGCCGCACGGAAATTATGTCATCCCGTAAATTTCCGCCGGTAGTCGACGTATCGGCGAGAACCATTGAATGTGCCGGCGGATACTGGAAAATTTGCGTAACTGGAAAATCACTCGACCGCATGCAGACACGTCGATGCAGGCAATTCTTCGTCCACGATTGGCCACTCGACGTAGTCGATTCGGGGAAAAAAAAACGAAAGGCTAAATTCAAAACTCCGAATTTGGTCGATATCATAATCCTGTCGTAACCACGTGGAAAACCATTATTGAAAAAAGAGATCGAGCAATATATTTTATTATTAAATACATAAATTCAATTTTTTCAATAAATATTATACATATATTATATATTAATTTCTCTTCAAGTGGCTGAACGCAAATAACATATATTTTTTTTCATTATGTCGTGCCTTAGATCTTGTGGAACATCATATATGATCTACATTTTCCAAGTCAAATAATTCTCAATGTGGTGCAAAACATTTCTTATAGCTCAAAACTGCAACTAATTGTTTATCGGTCTGTTCACTGTTTTCTGTTAAAGCGCTTCTCTTTTTGTCGTATTGTTAGCGTTTTCAACCAATTACTCGTATCTATAGCATTAAAAAAAGATCAGGTTGAAAGCTTCTCACTTCGTCAGACTTATATCAGCTGAACGAGCTGAATAGATCCTCGAGCGCTGTTTTTGACTTATCTTTTTTGTGAAATCCGAAGTGGCAATTATCTCGAAATAGAGCTTATATACCGCGCACGGAGAAGCATCCAATCAAAAAGATCGTCGAGATGTCGCCAATGCCATATATTTATCAGAAGAAAGATCATTAATTCTCGCTTATTGAAAAAAAATTTAATTAATAGAATCGTCGAAACAAGACGTACATTTTGTCGAAAAGAAAACAATTTAGAAAATATAAATCAGTAATTTTAAATTTTAAAGACAATATCATAATATTATTAAATATTCGAAATTACTTATTCATAAAGAAGTTTCCAAGAGCAACTCATTATAAATTAGATGAATTTTGCAATTGCGCGGATTTCCATTATCGAATGGATCGCAGTAAGATATCGCATGAATTTTGTAATATAAAGCTGATTGTAAGCGGATTATGCATGAGTCAAAGCGATCAATGATAATTACTTTAAAATGACGCGAGTCATTGTTCAAACAGGAAAATGCGCTTAGATAAATGAAATCGATAATGAGACTAATTATTCTCACGTTTATGTCGATGCGAAAGTATCCATAATTGCCGATATCGGTACGTGCATTCCTACGATATGGCGGTAATATGTACGTGCAACTCGCCGATTCCGGCGCGACTGGCTTTGATAACTTTCGATAATAATTCGTGGGAAATCCAATTACCCCGTTGCTGTCGGCACACTCTCGTCGTCAATAGTCGCGTAACTGCAAGGCGAGTTAGTTTCGAAAAGAATCGAGCTCTATTGTAAAAAAAAAAAAAAAACAAAACAAAAACAAAAACCGTTCCATTACTTTCATTCTCGTTTACGTTTATAGCATTCCAACGTATACTTTTGATTGCTCACTAATTGCTTTCTACCGTGTGTTAAAAACTTTATTGCATCGTAACGTTCTACTCCAAATTTAGCAGCACGAATATTAACAACGATGTAATCTAATCGAAAATAATGAAAAATATTTCTTAAACACTAATGTTACACAATGAAATTTTTCACGGAGGTAAATCTTTTTCTAGGAATTGATATATAAAAATAAATAAATCTTTTTATATCTTTCAAAGTTGTAAAACAATTATCTAAAGAAATATATGATATATATAATAGTTTTGAACAAACGATTACGAAAAATTGGCGATTGCTACGTTCGCAGTTAAGTGAAACCGTTTTTTATCCAAATTAAACACATCGAACGCCGACGACTTGTGAGAAGTTTCGATCGAGCAAACTAAGAAGACGTCGGGAGGCACTGGATGGTGATGGAATAAGGAGAGCTAAAATGTATAACGCGATATACTCTCTGCGCGCATGTATGGGATCGTGCACATTGCACATTGTTCCGAAGATGAGAATAATATGTACAGATGGAGAGAGAGAGAGAGAAAGAGAGAGAGAGAGAGAAAGGGTAGTGATAGTAGACGCGACGAGTCGATTGGTGCGTGGGTGCACGCGTGTAATGGTGGAGCGAGTTGCACGCGCACGATGCAGCTGATGACCTTGAACTCCCTGCTGATGTTCGATCTCGTGTTCCTGTTTTTCCTGTTCCTCGTCGGGGTCTCCTGTCTCGTATACTACCTGCCGGGTACTCGAGCGCATGCTTTCGCGCCACACGAGATCATCACGGCGCGGACGCCACCGCGCTATGATACGCCGATCGACAATGTGTAAGGTGAGTATAGGAACAGTGCGAAACGCGCGATTGCATGCCAGCTGATTATCTACGAGGTGTCCTACCAGTTGCGATATTGACTAACGGGCTTCCGACGCGATTCGTGAATAATCGATGAACCATTCCATATCCGAAAATCGACTTCCAAGCTGAATCGCTCCGTTATATAAAGGTATCGTATATCCCGTCCAAATTGTCTCGTTGACATTTTCGATTTAAAAGCGCAAAAGTCATATGCACATATAATGCTCTTATTCGATTATGAACGCGAATGGAACTTTCCGTGCGTTGTGCACCGTACGGTTTAATTGGCGTTGTGATTAAATCACGCGGAATCGCAGCGACTCTCTCTTGTCAATGCTAACCGATTGTCCGCTAATTAAACGCCCTGTTTCCACGATTACTCGTAACGAGAGAATGTGTTCATTATACGCGCATTTTCCCTGTCTCCTGCAAATGTTTGTGTACCGGAAAAAGACCAGATTTAACGATTTAGAAACAACATGATAATAATGAAAATTAATAATACTATTCAGTTATGAAACGTTACGACAAATGGAATATTCAATGCACATATGATTAGCTAAAAGCGATTATTGAAACTCGGATGAAATATCGGATCTGTCAAAAGCACCCAAAGTTGCCTCTTTAAACTGACCGAATTCGAATATTGCATAATTCTACGCTCACGTTTTGCTTTGGGCATTACATAAAAGGTGACCGAGTTGCATGAATGGTTGCACGTTTGTCTATTGTATTTCGAGAATACTAATATATGTATAGAACGATCGAATGTGGTACAAGTCACATTCGAAGCTTGGTTGAAAAATATAGCCTAAAATTATAACTAGAACGCTAATATTTACAAATCATATATTATAAAAATAAAAAATAAGATCAAATTACTTTTAAAAAAGCTTAAACTTTATAAAAATTAAAAAATCAACTTAGAATTACGTTAAGCGAGTTAAGTTATAGATTTGATAAATACGTGTGACAATAAATAAATATTGATAAAATATATAAATGTAAAAAACAGAGATGTGCATTTTTACAGAATAAATTCTCTAGTTTAGGAATAAAGCTGATCTTTTCGATCTTGCGCGTTTGTTTGTTTCTTGCGTAACAATGAAGAGTTTAACGTCATTATTCGAATTGGCTCGTTAATTATTCCCGACATTCTCTTTTATCGCTAGTTAATTCCGCGGAAAACCGGCGCCCGGCTTCGCAAAACAGAATATTTGTCGCGGAAAATTAATATTTTAGCGAAGTTTCTTTCCAAGCTTGTCGGGGGAAATCAGACTTGATACACAGTGTGCTGCAGAGGAGAACAAACAATCATATTAAAGAAAACCAGAAGTTTCAAAATTAGATAATGCTCTAACTCTTTGGCGAGTGCCGATAAGGATAAAATAAGAATAAAAAGAAGCGCGTGATGTTGTAGTTCTCTATAATTCAAAAAAGTACATATTTACTTGAATTTCCTTGTTTCTTCTTTTTTTGTATTATTTACTTGTCTTTTAATGCTGGATTCATTTATGTCAGAACGCTATGTATATATAATAAAAAATGACAAGATCTCATAAAAATGATTTAGGCCTATATAAATTCATATCCTGAAAGAAAATTGAAGAATATATAAGAAAGAATTAAATAAAAAATTAGAAAAAAAAATAAAAATATCAAGGAACAGTGCGAAACGCGCGATTGCATGCCAGCTGATTATCTACGAGGTGTCCTACCAGTTGCGATATTGACTAACGGGCTTCCGACGCGATTCGTGAATAATCGATGAACCATTCCATATCCGAAAATCGACTTCCAAGCTGAATCGCTCCGTTATATAAAGGTATCGTATATCCCGTCCAAATTGTCTCGTTGACATTTTCGATTTAAAAGCGCAAAAGTCATATGCACATATAATGCTCTTATTCGATTATGAACGCGAATGGAACTTTCCGTGCGTTGTGCACCGTACGGTTTAATTGGCGTTGTGATTAAATCACGCGGAATCGCAGCGACTCTCTCTTGTCAATGCTAACCGATTGTCCGCTAATTAAACGCCCTGTTTCCACGATTACTCGTAACGAGAGAATGTGTTCATTATACGCGCATTTTCCCTGTCTCCTGCAAATGTTTGTGTACCGGAAAAAGACCAGATTTAACGATTTAGAAACAACATGATAATAATGAAAATTAATAATACTATTCAGTGAAACGTTACGACAAATGGAATATTCAATGCACATATGATTAGCTAAAAGCGATTATTGAAACTCGGATGAAATATCGGATCTGTCAAAAGCACCCAAAGTTGCCTCTTTAAACTGACCGAATTCGAATATTGCATAATTCTACGCTCACGTTTTGCTTTGGGCATTACATAAAAGGTGACCGAGTTGCATGAATGGTTGCACGTTTGTCTATTGTATTTCGAGAATACTAATATATGTATAGAACGATCGAATGTGGTACAAGTCACATTCGAAGCTTGGTTGAAAAATATAGCCTAAAATTATAACTAGAACGCTAATATTTACAAATCATATATTATAAAAATAAAAAATAAGATCAAATTACTTTTAAAAAAGCTTAAACTTTATAAAAATTAAAAAATCAACTTAGAATTACGTTAAGCGAGTTAAGTTATAGATTTGATAAATACGTGTGACAATAAATAAATATTGATAAAATATATAAATGTAAAAAACAGAGATGTGCATTTTTACAGAATAAATTCTCTAGTTTAGGAATAAAGCTGATCTTTTCGATCTTGCGCGTTTGTTTGTTTCTTGCGTAACAATGAAGAGTTTAACGTCATTATTCGAATTGGCTCGTTAATTATTCCCGACATTCTCTTTTATCGCTAGTTAATTCCGCGGAAAACCGGCGCCCGGCTTCGCAAAACAGAATATTTGTCGCGGAAAATTAATATTTTAGCGAAGTTTCTTTCCAAGCTTGTCGGGGGAAATCAGACTTGATACACAGTGTGCTGCAGAGGAGAACAAACAATCATATTAAAGAAAACCAGAAGTTTCAAAATTAGATAATGCTCTTACTCTTTGGCGAGTGCCGATAAGAATAAAATAAGAATAAAAAGAAGCGCGTGATGTTGTAGTTCTCTATAATTCAAAAAAGTACATATTTACTTGAATTTCCTTGTTTCTTCTTTTTTTGTATTATTTACTTGTCTTTTAATGCTGGATTCATTTATGTCAGAACGCTATGTATATATAATAAAAAATGACAAGATCTCATAAAAATGATTTAGGCCTATATAAATTCATATCCTGAAAGAAAATTGAAGAATATATAAGAAAGAATTAAATAAAAAATTAGAAAAAAAAAATAAAAATATCACATACACAAGAATAACATTACTATCGATAACAATCAAGGAAAAGGTGAGTAATAAAAAAAAAGAAAGAAATTGATTAATATCGCGACGAGCATGCCCCAGACAAACAGCAATATCCGCAATAAATTTTACTGTCACATACGATCTGCTGCTTTAAACTCCAGGATATACGAACGCGAATATCCATCATCGGACGACTCAATATATTTTACGACGGTTCATTGATTGAAAATGATCTGAAGATAATATACGATAGACGCGCGTAAGCCATCATTAAATGAAACAGATCACAATCGCGAAATGGACCTGAAGCGGAGAGTTAATCAAGACGTTTATTACACTGCTGTAAATAATTGCGATCATAATTGTGCCAGAATGCGTCGCCTTAATTACTGCTTAATTACTACAAGGAAGTTACACCTGGGAGATCGCGTTTAATTTATAACTTTATTAACGGAATCGCTTGTAAATAGTGTGAAAGCACACACGCTAAATGGGAAATTTCTACTCGCCATAACTTCGTAATACATGTCGGTGAAACGAACGAATGCACCTAATCGAATAAAGTCGGACATGCTGTAAATTGACAGCCGTCCTACTATGAAACTAATCACAATTATAGTCACATACCAATAGTCTATCGAACGTATTGCAGATCGAAAAACGTCACACGTCTATCCAATAAAATATAATTCGTGAAAAAGATGACAAAACGCGCGCGCGATTTATTATTTCAAAGTATAATATTTTATCCATCTTATATAGAGTACCTCATTGATAGTTTTCAGTTTCGATTATTTTCTTTATTAGCCAGTTTGTTCGTGTAAAGTTCAATATTGAGAACGACACCGAAGTTGCTGCAGAGAGTAGTATTGCCTTTTGGAGATGCATGTTTTCATTCAGGCGGAAATTTCGCGGTCGTGATCACCGCATAATAGAGAGGACAATCGCAGCTGGCTAAGTTAGAAGTGCAAGAAAGTGCAGAAGAGCGAAACGTCCCACCCACGAAACTATATATATATATATTCTAAACTATCTGAAATCTCTTTATTCTCGCGGGAAACTCGATAATCTGAAACTTGCATGCGCACACTGACCGTCTATCAAACTTCTCGATATACATACTATGTAAACGTTTATTAGGAAAAGTAATCTTCTAATAAGACAATCTTCTTTTCCCGAAAAACTTTGCAACTGTACGTTTTTACATATATTTGTCAATTTATCGATAATAATTATAATTATAATAGCAATTAATCCCTTATAATAGATGAAAAAGATAAATAAATTATTTTAAAGTTTCAGAGCTCTTTATGATTTTCATAAGATTTGAATAATAATGTTTGGTCGTGCTTATTTTTCACATAAAACAACGTTACACGCATGTAACAATTAGACAGCGTATTAAATTTTGATGTAATCCAAACACGACCCACGCGTTGCGCGAACATGTACAAGACGGAGCTCTTTTCTCATAACGCGGCCAAACAGAAATCAGCGGGGACCAGCGAAGGGCAGATAACGATAGCCCACATTACTTTGCTTGAAAGAGCAGTCGCAGAGGAGAACATCGCTGAAAATGGAGCTGACGTCTATTGTTTTCTCTGACGACGGTATATCTGTTGATTGTTTCTCGGGATGTGCATATGACGTTGAGATTGGCGGCTGCTGGGTTTGTATGCAGGCAGACACAAAGAAGAATTACGCGGTCGCATCGCCGCGCTTTTGATTAAAAATAAATTCGCGGAAAATTGCGGGATTTTCACCTTCGATCGATCAACTTGAGCTTATCTTGATCTTATTATTTCTTATTCTCTAAGATTAAAGAAATATTTCGTGAATATAAATTGTCAATTTTAATTAAAAAAACATTATTTGTAAAATAATTCAAATTTTGTATATCCTATTTTCACGATGTTCTCTATAAAACTCTCTTATAAGCAACAACAATTTGATGAGAATTTCTTTAAATAATTTTTGAGAGAAAAAAATGTCCTCTTTAAATAAAAATATAATGTAATATAAAATAATATGAATAAATCAGAAATATATATTATTTAATTCAACAAATTAATCCAAAGCCACATTTGCGTCAATTTTCGATAGAAAAGACATTAGGCATTAATGCTTTTTTGATAAAAATATAACTATATCATGTATAATGATAAATCTTATATTGTAATCAAGAGCTTTTTTCCGTACTTCTTTACACGATATATGATGCTGTCGGAAAAATGAAGGAATGTAACATTTGCAAAATAGTTCCTCGTTTGCTAGTACGTCAAACCACGGCGACATATACTGACTAACAAAGGAGCTAATATAAACGAGACTGAGCAAGCAACAAGCCCGATACCTTCAATATATGCACGCCCCGGCTTGTTTGTATTTGTTTATTCGAGACAGAGGCTACGAAATATATTACCACCGTGTCGTTTCTTCGATCCTGCGCATGTTCATCCTGTAAGGCAAAATATGGTCGCCCCAGTGTCGAAGTCTTTACCCAACAATCTCACTTGATATTTTCAATTCATGTTTTTACAAAATTTATTAAAAGACCGCTCAATAAAATACATTCACGTGATTAATCCACATAAATTTTAATTATTGAATAATTAAGAAATATTGTGCTAAAACATTATCTTATTCACAGAATGCCAACGGACGTGATCGAAGTCCCAGGACTCGCAGTGGTGGCAGGGGATGTTCTTACCCTGCGAGGCACAGGACTCGCTGCTGCAGAAACATGGGCTCTCCTCTGCCAGGCTGCCCAGGCCCTCCAGGATCTTTTTCTTTCAAGTAAGTTGAAAATTACGCATTTTGATATGTATAATCCATCAGAAAAGAGCAATATTTTTTCACTACTTGTCACTAGTAGTTTAGTTAATGAGCACATTATTATAATAATACACGTAGCAAACGTCTTATCGAATGAATAAAAATCGCAGTTGCGTGATAAAAAAATTAGAAATGAAATATGAAATTCACATATTGCACGATATATTCACGTGCAACCTATGAATGCACGCGACACAAAATGCAGTCAATTATTGCACACTTTTCAACCGTTCGTATCAATTTATTAAAGTCACACTATTAATTACACGCGCGCACATGCAATGTATAAATGGGCAAAATTAGTGCTCGCTATTAAGGTATTTAATTATATCTTGGATTTTGTTTCATCGCAAAAATTTTTTTTCTTGATACTTAAGATACATTAGTTTGTTGAGATCTCACATTATTTTATAATCTTATAGAAATATAAAATAACAGAAAATTGAAGCAATATACATAAAAGCGATAATATTAATAATAATTATATTACTTATATATAATTGTTATTGCGATAATATTATCTATTTCTATCTTTCATTATTTTTATAAACAAATGCTGATTACATAGAGAGCGAATAATGATGATAAAAGGAATGATTTAATTGGATGAACTTCCTTGATTTTTCTCTTTCGGGGAAAAAGGGATCCCTGCCTAACTTCCTCGTTGCATCATCAATCACGTAACTCGGCCGCCGAAGATTTTTGGCGCCAGAGGGTAGATGAGGTGGACAGATACGATTTTTATACCGCACCCTGTCACACGAAAGGCATTTTTTTTTGGCACCGTCAACGGTCGTCGATGCGTGAAATAAAATGGATATAAAAGAAAATATCATAAGAAGACTGCTTCGTCAGAGCATGACGTTGTTTCACGCTACGACCTTCGGGACGCCCTAAACGCAAAGAAGTAATGATGCAGGAAGTTGATGTAATCGAGCATGAATTATCTGTAATATCTTTGACGATGTTGACGAAATATTTACGAGAGCATCAATGCATTTAGCGAAAATATTGTTGCGTGTAATGTTTCGTAGATTTTTAATTTTATGCGTGAGAAACATGGATATTCTCTTTTATCTCTATCATGAGAATGAAAAATGTAGAATATTTATATCGGAATAATATATTACAGATAATATTATAAAACGATTATAATGTTAACTTTTTAGTAAAACTCTCTATTACATTAGTAAAATAAGTTCTATTGTAGTAAAACAAGTTCTTGAAAATTTATTCTTAGAAAATTTGTATGTCTATGGAATTTATAATAATTTCAATAACACACAGTCATATTTTTATATTAAATTTGGACTTAATCTCTTTAAATTAATAAAAATAATTCCATGGTATGTGTATATATGTTGTGTGTGTGTGTATTGCTACATTTTTTATTTATTACAGATTTAATTGAAGAATTGGTAATTTAATTAAAGAATTATTAGTACATTTATTAGTGTGACACTCTATTGTGTATATAAAATTTTAATATAATTTTACTTAATTTAACTTGTTGTATTAGTTTTTTCTCTGTTTGCGCAGATTTTATTGTTGTTTTCCTCGGTTACAAGAGACGATACATACACATACACATTGGTCACAATAAAGTTCGGATAGCGGTAGTCATATCCGAAACACTTTAAACCATGCTATATATATAGCGGGAACTCGCGGCAAGCTCGACCAATATTTTCTGCAAAGCTTCCGGAATTTGCGGATGGATCATCTTTGGGCTTTACGCTTTCGAGAGCAAAAGAAACCACAGAAAAAATCCTGAGTAATGGATATCTGTTGACTTTAAAAAGAAATGAGTAGCATCTGCAATGATGATGATTGCATTTTGTGTGTATCTTGAGGATTAGATATTTCAAAAAAAAAAATTAATTTTTGGAGAAATTTAAAAAAATTTTTTTTTAGATAATATGAATAAAAAAACATATAAATACATATAAATATATCAAAATAATCTTTCATCAGATTCTTGCATATGATAAAGAAGAAAATTTCTCTTGAAATATACCGCAATATTAAAAGATTAGAATAAGTAAGCTTATAACTTCTTTTGAAATGTATACGTTATAGTGATAATAATAATAATAATAATATTAATGACTGCTAATAATAATAATCATAATAATGATTGCAGAAAATGTGTAATATAAGTTCAATATTCAGTAACTATAAAATTAGAGCTAATTTGACCTATCTATACATTATATATTTAGTTAGTACATATAATTATATATTTTATCATGCATGTGTGTGTTTGCACGCTTGTGATTAATAGTAATCATGACTTTACTAAATTAATACGAATAGTTGAACACTGCAATAATTGACTGCGTTTTATATCGCGTGCGTTCATACATTTGCATGTAAATATACCGTGCAACATGCAAATTTCAAATTTTATTTCTAGTTTTTTTATCACGCAATCGCGATTTTTCTTCAATTCGATGAGACGTTTGCTTACAAATGTATATTACTATAATAATGTATTCATTAACCAAACTCATTATTATCGTATGCCCACATTTTTACAAAAAAATTCATGATGCATTTGGCGCCGTATGCGATATCGCACGCCTGTCGATTGGTACGTTCCCCGTGGCAATGAAAATTTATTATCGCGCGAGATTAACATACTTTCGAAGTATACATCATCGCGAAAATTGTTGCAAGTGAAATAAAGATCGTTTTGATGCGGCGAAGCATTACATGAGCCAAATATTACATTTTACATGATATGAAATAAATATTTTTTGGGAACAAGCGTAATAAAAATGTGATACAAAAATAGAATTGTAGGAAAATCTGCGATCTGTTTATCTCTGTATAAATGCGGTATGACAGGCATGCGATATGGGAAATAGCAAGCGGAATTCGAAGTGGAACATTACGAATGATGCATTCCAAAGAGAATCGATAAAGCATTAAATCTGAAGAGCATAAAGGCCGAGAGGCCGAGCATTATCAAATTGCACATATCATGGCGATTACGATACCCTTCGCTCTGAGCAAGTCGAACGTTAAATGTTCAATAATCACAAGTCGTCGAGAGGCGTCAAAGCAACTAGCTATTAATCGATTAATCGATGACGCTATCGTAATCACTCGCATCATCGAGCAAAGCCACTGTCACGGCAGTTCACTAATCCGTGAAATTATTCCCGTGCAAATTAAATGACTTTTTTATACTATATACAGATATTGGATTTTACAATATTACTTTAATATGAGATATCTATGAATATATCGATTTTTTTTTTGTATCTGCATTTTTGAGCATCGTAATCCATAAAATACCTTCAAGACTCAGAATCTTAAGAAGCAGCGTCGTCTTTTTTGACGACTTCTTAGAAATTCGCGCGATCTCAAGAAGAATTATCTCCCTCAGCGGACTCTGAAAGATTCGAGGATGGAATACATGTCAAAGCCTTTGCTATTTAATACCAAAAAGTAGTCTTGAACATCTCGAAATAGCTCGTGGCCTGGTATGCATCTTCTCTTGACAAGAGGCCGCTTAAATCTAGCAATGTTCGATACCTTTGCTTCATTGAAACATCGTAATATCAATATCGCCAGTAATAATCGAAAGAATAAAGATTTTCAGAATGATAAATTATATAGATCGATATATGAGTTCGTACAATGCCGGGAATAAATATCTAACTCATGTAGACAATAAAGGATACTAAAAAAAGTAATTCCAAGTAAAAAGATATTCCAGTATCGAGACATGTGCATTGCCTTCTCGCGCGAGATTAAGCGCGTCAAGAGGTGCTCGACGCTCGCGTTTCATACTTGATTCGCATACGCGCGGCTTAACAGGCGTGTTTACAATGTCGGCAATTCGGGCCCTTCACTTCCCCCTGAAATCGCCTCGGCGAGGTATCCTGCGTTTGCAATGCCGCATAGCATGACTCACGAGCGCCGTATAATAAGCGGTGCCTCGCCGGCATCGCAGAACCTTGGACCTCAAATGCCAAGGATTCATCCTTGCGTTTGTCCTGATAATGACCAGCGACTAAAACTTTATCTTTTTGGCGCGATCGAAATAGTTCCTCGATCGCGCGAAGGACGCGGCTATTCACATATAAATATCTTATTATTAATACCAATATTAACGTAATAATACATACATTTTCAAGACGTTATTAGTCTCATGAATATTGTAAATACAACTAAAACCTCTCGAAAAAAGAAACGTAATAATATTATTACGTCCTGTAGTTTAACGTGAAAAAATACAATTTTCCACACACGGTCCAAATTTATTCAAGCGCGATAATTCAACCGCACGGATTCTCGAAATGAGACTGCATTTTTTCCCTGTGTCAGAGCTGCCGAGAAAATACGAATTTATCATATAAATCCGCACAACCGTGAAAGTTTCAAGTGCGAAATAGGATTCTATATTACTATCGAGAATCGTTCTCGCCGCATAATCGCCATCGTGACATCTGCTGCCTTCAACTGGCAGACAGCAAGAATCATCCTTTCTGTCGCGGGTCTTTTCAAAGCGGCAGCCTCATCCACCCGCGGTACACTTTGTAGAAGAGAAATGCCGGAATTACGGCAGTGACTCCTTTGGTTATGCATCGTGGAAAGTGTACAGGAGCTTTAATAATGTCGGCGACACACAATGCCGTCGGCGAGAGAGACGCTATTCGATGATACCCAAACAGGGTCACCAGTGAATCCGTGCATTCACCGCGTGTCTTTGAAATATTTTCATCCGCCTTAACACCGTTAAACTAATAACTCGAACAAAAGAACATTTCAATAAACAAGAAGAGGAAAGATTTCGAGTTTTAAATATATTTCTTGTAAAAATATAAAAACCGCGGAGAATATCGACTCGATTCGCTTTTGCGGTCTACGATTTATGATATAGATTCCCTGTGGATCAGAGTCAGCAGTATTGGCGCGAGCATTTTAAAAAAGAAGTCTGATACTGACGT